AGAGAGCGATATCAGGAACTTCATCTCTGCCACAAATATCTATAAATCTATTGTTGGATATTGTAAAAGGTATTTTTACTCATTGTACGTTAGTCTGTGTCCTCGCTGACCACCGGTTGTGTTGACGTCCTCCAAACTCCTGCAGAGGATTTCTTTAAAAGACTCCTGTATTAATAATAATACATTTTATTTATTAATGCCTTTTCATCAGAAGATGCTCAAATTGCTACCAGGTTTTTTAGAAACAAAAAAAAAAAAATATGAGCAAGTTTTTAAAAAAATAAAAAATTAAAAGGTGAGCCAAAAGCTTTGCTAAAAAGAAATTGTCTTAAGATCCTTTTTTAATAACAGTCAGTGGATTGTGGGCCCTCAGAGGTGTCAGGGGAGGCATTTCCACAGACGTGGGCGGCCAGCACTAAAGGCCCTATCTCCCATGGTCCTGAGTCTGGTTCTGGGAGCGGAGGGAGTTCCTCCCTTCAGCTTTCTGTGAACAGGAGAAACTGATCTGAGGTCAGAGGAGGTGAGAAGATGACAGAGAGCAATGGCTCCATCTGGTGGCAGGAAAAACACTCTGCAGCCAACAACCCAACTGTTTTCAGCTTTTTAACAATCTGTTTAAATAATCTTTAAAGAGTTTATTTATGGCCTTAAAAACAAATATACCTTCAGATATTTATAGAAATACACAAATGTTTTCTAAAGGGCTCGTATGATGATGCACCAGCAGTATTTAATGTCTCTGATGGAGAACTGATGGTCACAATAGAGAATAATAACATTACAACCCGTTTATTAAAGAGTGGTCTTTGGTGTCGGACTCCGCCTTTAAAGTAAACTGGCTCCAAAATACGACTGTGACCTCACAGACCTGCAATACTGAGCTGAAACTACTTTTCTGTTTTACTCAATCATTTTAAATTTTTTTAAAGTATCATAAAAGAAACTACATCTGAATAAAACAACTTGAACATTAATATTTTATATGTCGTAAGTGGTTTCAAAAGAATGTGAAGTTTTGAGTTAAAAAGCTGTTTTGGATTAAAATTGAAACTTTTTTAAAGTGAAAATAAATATTTTTATAAAATGTGACTCAGTGTTTTGTAGTTGTCATGAAACTGTTTTTCAAAAAAGTTTGGTATGATGGGAAGTCTTAATAAATAAATGTTCTGATGTATGGTGGCCATTTCAGGTCCATTCTGACGCTGCAGCAGCAACAACCTCCGGTTTGCCTCACGATGCAGCAGTGATTCATTATTTACTTTCTATATTACCTGTTTTTTGTTCCTCTTTTTTCCCTTTTATTTATTTTTTTGTTTTCTGGTATGTCTGTTTTCTATGGAAGCCCTTTTATGCCAATGTAAAGGAAAAATAAAGATTATATAAGTCATTAAAATGAAAAACTCAAAATATTGACTTAATAACAAAATTTATAATAAATTTATAAATTTATAAAGTAATTTTGACATAAGTCAAAATATTAAGAAAGTTTCGCATTATAATAACTTACATAATCTTTTTTGGGGGGGGCGGAAATTAGCTTCCATAGTTTCCTGCACTGTGTTATGGAAAATCCCAATAAAAATATTCTATAAAAGAAAACAAACTCTTTTCCAGTGACCTTTTTCACTCTCACTTTTATTTAAGTTAGTTTCTTTGATTTACTTCAATAAAATAGTCTCTAAATTTCCCAAAATGAAGCTTTATACGTTGGCTACTGCTAGCTAGTGAGTGAGCACAACTGTTCGTATTAGGAGGGATGTTCAACAATAAAGATTTAAAGAGTGCGACGGACAGTTTTTAAGAGAGAGAAATCACTGTAGTTTATTCTTTCAGGAGGCCAAACGTTACCTAAGCTTTTATATATTTTATTAGTAATACTTCTAATAGTTTGTTTACATTGTTCGTACTTTGCTTCGTTGTTTGAGGTAACTAACATTTCAACTGTTTTCACAGTGTTTACAGTGAAATACTGAATGCAGGACTGGACTCACAATGGATTCATTTTACAGTATTTTTGTTTGTATTGTGCTTCGTTAGATGTTTGAATATTTGTTTTTGTAGATGTAATTTTTAATTAATAGATAATAAAAATGAGAAAACAAATTAAAAACCTGTTTTTACAGAAAATAAAACTCCACTTTCCCTCAGGTCTTCCCTTTATTTAATTTACGGTACTTTACAGCCTCCATATTCTGTAACAGTAAAATCCTGAATGCAGGTTGAGTATTGGGGTTATTTTATGTGTTTATTGTGTATTTATTGTGCATTAAATGTTCCTTATTTTGCGGCTGTTCCTCCTTATTTCCGCTCATTGACTGAAATCAGCGACTTTTCCGGATAAAATGCGACAGAAACTGAAACTCTCGGAATCAAATTCTCGCTGTTAACTTTAATTTTTGCGCAATTGCTTTCTTCCGTTTTCCATGTCATTTCCTGTGATAAAAAATGGTGGTCAAAGCTCGGGGAGGCGACCGAGTCGCTGCAAAAAATTAACGGGAAAAACTTTAACATCGAGCGGGCGGCGGCGGAGCCAGCGGCCGGGGGCGGGTCGGTGCTCGGCGGCCGGGCAGCGGCCGGAGAGTCCAGCTTCAGGCCGGGAGAGAGGCTCCGTGTCCCCGCTGTGCTTACGGTGGGTCTGTCGGTAGCCACTGTGGCCAGCGAAAATGGCTTCCGAAAGGAGCAGGCAGATTGCCAGTTGTCTGCAGACCGAAAGCGTGGCGCAGATTAAAACTCAGCCGCTAATTAGCCTTAAAATCCGCTAATTTACCGGATTATCTGCGGACACCGACTCTCGGTTTAACACAACTTTAGTTTGTGAGTGTTTGTAAAGTGTTTTAATGTCGGAGCAGACTGCAGCAGAGAGTTTAAACCCTCAGCACACAGACTGCACTGTGCAATAGCATCATGATCAAGAATCAGTTATTAGAGATCAATAATGTGTGTGTGTGATATTAAACTCCTGGTTAATATTAATACTGCTCAGTTAAAGCTCATATATTGGTAGTTTGTTTTAATGTGAGCTTTATATTTCTCTGATTTATAAACAAATAAAAGTTAAAACTGTAAATAAAGTATGTTTTAATTTAGTCAAATGTTTTTGAAATGAGGTTTTTTATGATTAAAGTCACATTTGTAAAAACGCTGTAGTGACAATAGAAAGAGTTTGAACATGTAATAGATTATCTGGAACATTTAAAATCAAACATTGTTTAACAGTTAATCTGTAGGAAGGTTTACTGTTCAAATAAGAAGAAGTGAAAGTTTATTTATGTCATATTTTATATCCAAAGTTCTTAAAAAGGAGCACAAAACAGAATAAAACCAATAAAATAAAGTTATTTGATTTAAAGGACCAGTCTGTAGGATTTAGATCTATCTAGTGGTGAAGTTGATTCAACCTCTAATTAAACTACGGTGGCCGTGAAATACAAAAAAGTCCCTAATCTGGATCCAGAGTTTGTCCATCAATCAATCAGCTGATAGATCAATAAACAGTGAATCTGTGAGAAAGAAGAATATTAAGTCTGATTGTTAAAATACAGAATACAGACAGAGAATGGATCAATATATCTCTGATCAATATTCACAGGAAATAATCAAACCTCCTGCAGTTATTGAGTTCACTGTTTGTGTTCATTGATCAGTTGATCAGCTGTTCTCTGCTGTTACTGATACTGATCAATATGAAACATACAGTTGGGAATCAGAGTCTTACAGTGACGTTACAAACCGAAGCTTCAACAGAAGATTAATCACAAACAGTTTGTTCCACTTTGGAGCAGCAGGAACAGCCTGAATCCAGAACCAGCCGGAGGTCTGAGGGTTCGTACAGGGTCAGTAGACCTGGACCTCGGACCTAAACCACTCAGTGACTCATTGACAGACAGCAGAACATTAAAGTTGATTAGTGAACACGGACAGAGACGCACAACGACAGGAAACACTAAACTACACATCGTCCAGCTCCTCAGCTGATAATCAATACCGACAGTAAAATCACGTTTTTAATGAGTCTGAATAATCTCATAATATCAGATATAATAATACAACAGGTTCATACTTTACATTTCCCTCCTGTTTACAGTAATCAGTGGTAAACTATTAAATTCATATTTAATTATTTTAATAATGGAAATTAAGTGAAAACGTCCAAATTCTCTGATTTCAGCCTCAGTTTGAATATTTGAGGACGTCGTCTTCTTTCAGTTTTAGGAAACATTGATTCAAAGTTTTCACCATTTTATGGACGAAACAGCAAACCGAGTAATGGAGAAAATGATTAATTGATCCTAAAAATAAATACTTTACTCCAGTAACATTTATAGTGCAGTATTTTTACTGCAGTAAAGAACCTGAATACTTCCTCTCCTGTAAGATATATATTAATCCTCTGATCCATTGTTACGTACAGACTGAATGTGATAAAGTAGATTTTGTCAGGAAAGAGAAACTCAGACTGTCATTACTGAACTGCCTGTATATCTGTTTATGTAATAGATATATACTTATAATAATACAAAGACAATACAAAGACAGAGAGTTTACAGGGCGGAGGTCAAATAATTGATCTGGATTTTTAAGCCATGAAAATTACATATTTAATGAGCACATAACTGCTGTTCTACATAACAACACATTTGAATTTACAGTCAAAAAAACATTTTTACCTAGTTTCATTGTTAATGTAGTTCCTGTGTTTCGCCACTGGGGGGCAGTACTGCAGGACTGTAGACGGTACTACAGACATTATTACAGCCAAACTGGTGACAGATTTTATTCTCTCTGGAACTAGTTGCCTTAAATTTTTAATGAATTATACAAAAATAAATCACAATTATTACTTATAACAAATAATTTTCACTTTTTCCAACAATTTAATTGCAAAAAATTCCTAAAGACATAATTTTTTAGGAAAGGTGCAGTGACATCAGATCTTTTAAGCAGCAACAACCCAGAAACAAAGCAGTGATTATATAACCTGATACCTGCTGTCCGCTGTGAGGAAAGGTTTGTTATTACTGACACGTGTTGTTGTTGTTGTTGTTGTTCTGCAGAGGCTGTGAAGACGTGCTGAGTTTCTACCAACATGGTTCCACCATGAGTGAGTCGTTGGACCACTGGTGTAAGTTCCTGTCTTCAGATCCTTCGCTGGGATTCTGCGCTTTCCAACCGATATATTCGCACATTATAGATGAACTAAAAATCTGATCTCAAACCGTCGCTGGCTGCTGGTCGTCGACCGGCGGCTCCTTGTGACTTTGACTACAGATTGTATTGAAATGAATAACAGTTATTGTTGTCGGTCTGAAGTGATTTTTACATTCTCCAGTTGTAAGATTGTGTAGCTGTTACACACCAAATAAAAAGGAAATGTTTCAACATATCATCAACTAAAATACGAGTCAAAGTCAACTTTATGGCGGATATAGAAACAGAAACATGAACCAGAACTGTTGAGTACAGAGTTTAATGTTAGAAATGTTCAGTCTGTTAACCTGCATATGTTGCACAATTAGCATAAATAGCAATAATAATCATCTTTAAGGGCAATATAGGAGTTGTTTTTATGAACACGCTGTAAATATTTTATTAGCGCTGGAAGAGTTAATAAAATCCTGAAATGTCGACTGTTTGTCCTCCAGTCTGCGAGGAGTGCCAGGACTATTTCCAGAAGGAGTGTCCGTCCCACGGGCCCCCGCTGTTCGTCCCTGATACGCTTGCACCGCCGGGGTCGGCCAACAGGGCGGCGCTCACCGTCCCATCGGGCCTGGAGGTGTTTGCTGAGGGAGACGAGGTGGATGTTCGCTGCGTGGATCCAAACATCCCCAGGGGGGCGGTGTTTGGTCCGTATGAGGGAGATCTGGTCTCCAAGGACAAATCCTCCGGTTTCTTCTCCTGGATCGTAAGTCCAACCAGTCTGAAACCACTTTAGAACCAGTCTAGAACCGGTTTGAGACCACTTTAGAACCAGTCTGAGACCACTTTAGAACCAGTCTAGAACCGGTCTGAGACCAGTTTAGAACCAGTCTGAAACCACTTTAGAACCACAAGCTCTGAACTCGTTTCCTGTTCTTTTTTGTTCCAGATTGTTGATTCTAATAACGCGTATCAGTCCATCGATGGCAGCGATGAGACCAAAGCCAACTGGATGAGGTAACACTTTTATTTTAATACATAATTATTAATTTTCTATCTAACTATCAACTCTGAACTGATTGAATCAACAAATATAACAGTATAATTACAGAAAGTTACATAAATCATTTAAATCTTTGATCATATGAAAAATTATCTATAAAATATCTTTGTTGATGTTTGCGAGCTGCAGGTTCGTCCGAACCTCGTCGGAGGAGAGCGACAGGAACTTGACAGCGTTCCAACACCATAAAAACATCTACTTCAGAGTGTGTCGGCCTCTGGCGGCGGGAGAGAAACTGCGGGTTTGGTACAGTGACGACTACATCCAGCGACTCCACTGCGTCTCTCAGGAGAGCATCGACCGCAACCTGGACACAGGTAGTCTCTGGTTGGAGCTCAGGGCTGTGGTTGGTGAAAGAAGTGTAACATGTAATAATACTGTCAATAACATTCAGTTTTATTTGTATAGCAACAATTCATAACACACGTTATCTCAGCACACTTCAAATAGAGCAGGTCTAGACTGTACTCTTTATAACATTATTTACCTAACAGTTCCCACCATGAGCACCTTGGAGACAGTGGCAAGGAAAAACGGCAAGGAGCTCTCAGGGTTTTCCTCATGCTGTATTAGTTAATTCCTTCATAACAAAAGTTTATGACGTGAGATGCAGCCCATCAGTTTGAGAGTTTAAACTGGTTGCAAATCTGTGGGTTTTTGTGTGTTTCACTTTAATTTGAAATGAGAAAAGTAACTAATTTGCTGAATTACTGACAACCACAACCGTGTTTTCCATTGACATAGCTAACAAAACTGTCTAATTCCAGATACTGGGAAGCCGAAAGTCCTTCCCAACATTCAGAAGGACTTTAAATCTCCGTGTCTGCAGTCGGCTCTGCAGGGCAGCAAACAACCCAGCGAAGAGCCAGACGGCCAGCCTCCAGCCAAGAGGAAGAAGATCGACCTCATCTTCAAAGACGTCCTGGAGGCTTCTCTAGAGGACTCCAGCAAGTCCAGGTCCCAGTCTTCCCTCCACAGTGAGTGTAAAACAGCGGTGCTCGGGCCGGGGGCTGAAAGCAGCTTTAACGTTCCTAACCTAAAGGTGGAGGAGAAAGAGGAGGAGAACCAGAGCAGCGAGGAGCCCTCCACCTCCTTCTGCCCCAACTGTGTCAAATTGAAGAGGAGGATCCTGGAGCTGGAGGAGGAGCTGTCCCGTCTCAGAAGAGAACAGGGGGACGTGGTCGGTGCACCAATGTCTGAACAAAATCTTCCCCAGCAGGATCAGGCCGGACCGCCCCACCCGGAGCAAGGCCCCATCGAAGACTTTCAAGGTTTGTTCTGAAACATTATGTTCTGACGGAGAGCCGACTGTCTTCAATCTGATTCTTTAAACCAGCAATGCAACTGGTTTGTTTTCTTTGTTATGTTTTTAATCCTCAAATTCTTTAAAGCTTCTCTATGTAACATTCATTAAACTGTAGCTAACAGCGCCACCAGTGGCCGCTCAGTGAACTGCAGTGAATTGCATAATCCTGGGCGTTGGCCAGGATTACAGCGACAGAGATTGCTCTGTCGCTGTAAAATAACTGACAATCATATTTAGAATAACGTTACTATCTGCAATGTTCCTATATTTTATTTGGACCGTTAGCTCCATGCTACTAA